CCTTTTTCCCTATAGATGTGAATGAAAACCACACGTCGTGAATATAATTCTAAGAGAAGTGATCTTTTGCATGCCCATCAATTAGTTGACATTTATTATTTCGAGGAAATAGTATTAGTTTAGGCTAGGAAACTCGAGAGTTTATCTTTTGAATAGGGCATTTATGTAGCATAATAAACACGTCAGAAGTAGGGGCTCTCGAGAAACATATATAGTTTATTTTTATTTTGTGAATATCTGCAGAGAGTACTTAAGAATTTCGAAGAAGTCCCCACATGTTGCGAAAACATAAATTATTTGTATGTCAAGTATCTGAAGCTGGTCAAAAGAGAAGGAAGGAATAGTATACACCCCCAGAGAGAAAAATCTACCACGATTGGTTGATACCATCCAACCAAGTCAAGTTTCCACCCATAACGGGAATGAACAGACGAAATTAGAGTCAGATAGGGATTTTAGAAAAATCTAAAAGTTAGTTCAATTTTGAATTTCATCCTGCTTGCCTCGTGTTCTGGTGCGTGAATTCAGTGTTTGGTAAATCTCTCAAAGATTGTATTATTTCTGATATTGATAAAGTTTCCCCTTCTGGTAATCATTGGAATCTTGTAAATTCATTGAGTTTTCAGAGTCTGGACTCAACTAGGTAAGTACCTTCCGTACTGCTTAGAACATTCAAATTTTAAAGTGAAATACATTTTTAAACCATTAACTTTCTTTTGACTGGTTGAGATAATTAGTTTGATAGATTTCAACTCACTCAGGATAGCTGTAATCATCATAATTATTTCTTGTTCATTAATTTTCTCTGTTATATAGGAGCCATTTCCTCATCGAGTCATATTTTCTTTACTTGACTTTTCATTATTTGTTTATTTTGAAAATTATTGAATAGATCATTGAGGTTTCATTTATTCTTTCATTGCTGAACTTACCCACTTCTCTTCCAGAAGTGAACAATAAACATAAAGTAAATTCAATAGAAGTTCTTCTGATATGAGTAAAAAGTTGATAATATTGTCAAGAATGGATAAAAACTATAATTTTATCGAGAATATTCGAAATTCTCATTTCATTCAAGAACAGTACAATAACCTAGTCTAGATCATATTCTTAGAATTATCCAGCTCACAGGATATCCGTAGAGAATTACGATATTCAAAGGAAATTATAGTTCGGATTCCAATTTTATTATTATTCAAGTAAAGTCGCTGACGGGCAGAAACTGCTCGTTTTGGATTTTTCCTAATCGAGGTGAATACACTAGTTGTTATGCTGAATCAATTACCACTACCAAAACCAAAATAAAAAAGTATTAAAGAAAAAACCGGCAGTTGTGGTTCGGACAGTGGACCGTAAAGTCTTTCCAAATATTCTAATAGAAAGTGAATCTCAAACTTTGCATCATGTCTAAACTTCGTGAGTGGCAGTTCCAATCCTCTAACAAAAAGCGAGCCCTTCTGTAAGTACCTTTCTTGAGTATTACTAGTTTTAGTTTTCCTGTTTTGTTCCGATTCGAGTGGATGTATATTGCTGGATAATTAATGGTCAATCTATTTCCTGCCCTAATTGTTTGTATTCAGAATGAATAGACTTGTGAAGTGGAGTTAATTTATTTAGTTATCATTTTCAAAAAAACCTCTCGCAAGCGAGTAAGTCCGAGTTGCGATAGTGGGCGTTAGAGTCACTCGTGACAATATAATATAATAAAGGCAAAGAGTTACCAGATAAGTGTTTATACGTGTGACGGTTCGAGGTAATCGATAGCCCGCAGAAGCGATAGCTGAGCCCAGAGAGCTGTCACCCCTTCTGAGATTCGAAAGGTAAGTGGAATTTTTTTCATTTCACTTGGTTCTTTGGGATTTTCTCTCCTCGTTTCTATAAAATAAAAGTATTCGTATTATTTCAATATATTTGTAGAGGGACAAATCAGATGATTTGCCCCAAAATGTCACTGCGTTCAACAAATTTTTCTATCAGGGAGTCTAAAAGAAAAATCCAGTAGCTTGTCATTGCCATTTTTTTTTGAAAAAATTTTTGAAGGAAAGAAATATAGATATATTGAAAAAATATCGAATTTTCACTTATCTTTGGACGTTTCGGGACCGATTCTGCTCCCGTTCTCAACATGTAAATGCAAATTGTTTTTCTTTGAAAGTTGTGCTGCGTATAGTTTGACACTTTTCAGTGTCATACTGATGTTGGCATATGAATGAGTGATTTTAGTCTAAAGATGAGTTACAGGATGTTTCCATTAATTGATCTTGAATCTACCATTTTCATGTTCAGGTTTCAGTAGTGAATACCATGTTCTATCAATATCAACTGAACAGGAAGCAATGCTATCGTCTCCGTTTAGAAGAATGCAAGCGGATTCCTTCATTTTACTTTTTTGAAAAATAAAGGAATCCGCTTGCATTCTTCTAAACGGAGACAATAGCATTACTTCCTGTTCAGTTGATATTGATAGAACATGGTATTCACTACTGAAAACTGAACATGAAAATGGTAGATTCAAGATCAATTAATAAAAACATCCTGTAACTCATCTGTAGACTAAAATCACTCATTCATATGCCAACATCAGTATGACACTGAAAAGTGTCAAACTATACGCAGCACAACTTTCAAAGAAAAATTATTTGCATCTACATGTTGAGAACGGGAGCAGAATCGGTCCCGAAACGTCCAAAGATAAGTAAAAATTCGATATTTTTTCAATATATCTATATTTCTTTCCTTCAAAAATTTTTTCAAACAAATTGTCACTGACAAGCTACTGGATTTTTCTTTCAGACTCCCTGATAAAAAAATTTGTTAAACGCAGTGACATTTTGGGGCAAATCATCCGATTTGTCCCTCTACAAATATATTGAAATAATACGAATACTTTTATTTTATAGAAACGAGGAGAGAAAATCCCAAAGAACCAAGTAAAATGAATTTACCACCTCCTCGATTAACCTACAGACAGTATTTATGGAATTTTTTTGATAATGTTTACGAGCCAACCCAAGCGTTTTCTTATTGGACCTTACTTGCCTAACCTATCTCGTTCGGCAAAGAAAATCAGTAGATGAAGGAAATAAATATTATTAAGAAGGTGGACCTAAGACAGGTGTAATTTGATCAGTTTATTTCGAGGATAGAGTATTTTCATCAGAGTCCACCCTTCTTACAAATTGGCGCAGTCCGTAGGATCATCAATCAGAATTTTAGTAGGATTTTCAACAATCAGAATTTTGGTGTAGGATGATCAATCAGAATTTCACTGGGATAAAAATAGAATTCAATCCGAATATAAATCAGAATTTTTGTTGGATCATATTAAGATTCAATCAGGATCAAATGAGGACGTTTTTCATTTAATTGAATGAAACATTGATTGGGATTACGTAATATAATTGGATTCAATTATTCCAAGAGTATCTGTCACATAATTTCTTGATAACACGCAGAATTGTGTTTTCAATTTCGAAATTTTGTCGTTAAAAATACAAATATAGGTGATAAAGATACGCAAGGCTGGTGTAAACATGGTCAACGCTAGAATGAATTTTCCTCAGCGAATAAGATTTGATTCAGTCTGTTTCAAATAAATGTAGATTGGCCATTGATGTGAATAAATAGTTTGACTAGGATAACTGAGGAAAATTCACAATCGATGGAATTGAAAATGAACTCCGATACCGTGTATCGTGAATAGAATGAATCCATTTACCCACTCCAATAAGTTTAGAATTATCAATCATACAAGCTACCAATATAGGTGAATTTTCAGTTGAAGTAAGGAAAATAGTAGATTGATGGATTTTGGATGTATTCTATTGTAGAAGCATTTGCTCTTCTGGAATTTGATAATGATAAAACAAATCAAGAGCATGAAGGTATTTTCAAGATTTTTGTGTTTTCCCTCTTGTTGAAGTGTTCATATTCCAGTGTTCCTAATCAAGTCTATAATATAATGAATAAACAAAAAATCTAGGTCAAGTTCAATGAAGATATACATACATGTAAATAAAAAAGAGCAAGTGTTTTCTAGTTATGGTGAGCCGAGCGAAATTGATGGAATTCAGATTTAAATTAGATATACAATTATGATATTATATTTTTATATAAGATGAAAGTAAATCAAGTATTCAAGAGAATAGTCGAAATTGTCGAAGAATTGAAGAGTTATGATAATAAGAATAAATAATCATGAGCTGTGAACAGATTAAACTCCAATTTAGAGTCATAATTATCTAAAGAATTTGACATATGACGGAATTTCGTCAAGTAATAAATTTGATAAAGAAATAAACTTCGGAGCAAAAACAGGGATAATGAATAGAGAAATGATAGAAAAACAAAAAATATTTTGAATCTGATTTTCAAAAGGCTGTGGTAAATTAAAACAAACTATGGCAAATGAAGAAGATGGGGGAGATGTTTTGAAGAGAATCATTTTTTTTGTGTGACAATTTGAAATTTTAAGAGTCGCTACTTAAATGAAGTCAGTCAGAATTTTGAAATGAAAACTATATTCTTCATGTTTTCTTTGCCTAAGGTTGATCTCTTTCAGGAAACTCCAGAGGACGCCGAGTCAATAGAAAGTGCATCTTTCTATTTCGTATGTCTAGAGGCTACAAGTGTGAGCCTATTGCTTCGTTTGTTGTGGTAAATCATTGTTGTGGTGTTATAAATCTCTTACAGAGCAATTCAATTTTCAATATTTATTATTCGATAATTCTGCTTTGATTGAATGAGGGTTTTCTTGCAGGTATATAAAATTCATTATTATTCAGACATCAGGTATAGAAAGGTAAGCAATAAGAATTAAAGAAAATATAGGTCAGTTTGTTTGAATTCGTATATAAAAGGGATATTGATAGGGTGATAGAAGAAGGGATTGAACAAAAAGATTATTGGAATTTTAGAACAACAAAAGGTCCTCTCCACCTAGGCACTTTCACGGACCAACAGGAAATATAACACCACCGATACAACCTCCAGTACCGCCAATGCAAGCTCAACCACCGCCTCCAGTAGCGGCAGCCAGTATTTCCTCGGGAACTTTGGCACCAAAAGTCGACCCGATGACGCAGCAGCTCAGCGATCTGAATTTTTATCTCAGAAATTTATCGTTAGGGAAAAATAACGATGTGTCTCAGATTGAAAGTTTCAGTGGTGGACCAGGTTATGAAATGTTTGTCGCAGTAGTAACAAGTGTAGGAGTGCAGTATAGTTGGTCAGAGGCACAAATTGTGAGAACTATCGAGATCAAGCTCAAGGATAAAGCGAGACAGTATTATACTGCATTATTACCGCAAGAAAGACCGAAAACTCTGGATGACATGAACGAGTGGTTCAGGAAGGTGTTCGGTAGGAAACTAACGATAAATGCCGAAAAACGTGAGTTAGAACGTAGCGTGAGGAATCCAGGAGAACCTCTAGGAGAATTCGCACAGCGATTGAAGATTATTGCTAATAAGATGTTTTCAGTGAACCGATTGACAACCCAGGAGAAACTCGTACACCGTAATTTATTATTAGTCAATCAGTTTATAGAAGGATTGGACACTCGACTGGCTGATGAAGTTCTTCGTTCAGGAGAGTTTTATGAGTTAGACGCCTGTTTAGAAGTGGCGGAAGAATGTAAAGAAGTTGTGACAAGAATGATACCGGAAACTCGATATGATGGCATGATGAACTCCGTTCGAAGAATAGAAAGTTCAGAGGAAGCAACTTCTTCAACCATTTTTCAAGGAGGAAATGCAAGTCAAGGGCGAGGACGAAATTTTCGAGGTAGAAGCATGCAGCGTGGAAGTTATATGCGTGGTGGAAATCGAAACTCCAGACAACTCCGATCTGAGTTGGCTCTAAGATTTCCGTACATGAGTAACCGTTGTAAGAGATGTGGTGAAGAAGGTCATGAACCGCCACGGTGTCCAAATAACCGGAAGTTATTCTGTTACCATTGCGGTAAAGTTGGAGAAGTTTGCGAGTCTTTAAACTACCAGCGCCCAGGATTCCAGCGGCAGACGTAACCTTAAAAAATTCCATCGTACTTCTAATCAACCCGTCATCAAAAATAATCGTGCTATTCACTCAAAATATGCGTACAACTTGGCTAGTAGATAGTGGAGCTACTATCTCATTAGTAAAGGAAAAATTAGCCAGAAGATTGAAACTTACTGTGAATCCGAATGTTGCGACAGTAATCACAGATATTTTTGGTAACGTTCTGAATAAAACGGGGTCAGTCAAAATAAAATTTCAGTTTCCTCGGGAATGTATAACACATGAATTTGTTGTGTGTAAAGATGAATTGAAATTCACTACAGATGGATTGATAGGTTTAAATTTTTTGAATAAGTTTCAACCTATCATGGATTTCAGTCGGAGTATAATGAAGATAAAAGGATTCGAAATTCCAATGCATGGTGAAAATGAAGGAATTAAAACAAAAATATATCAGCTGTCCGAATTACAAGAATTTCCAGTAAAAATCTTCAGTGCTATGGAACAAGATGGGGTTCCAGAGAATCAAGGTAACACTATGATGTTCGGAGGTAACAATTTGAAACACCCCGAAAGAGAGGGTTATAAAGACGAGCAGAATAAGACTCGCAAGAAAATTCATCTGAAATCAATAGAGGGCAGAATAAGACCCATATGAAGAATTCAAATGAGGGTTTGTTGCATAGTAATGCCAGCCCGCACTTCTTTGACAGAGGGAGTCATTGTCACTACTCTGTCAACTTGTGTTCTCTGGAAGAGGTACCTGCCTCGTTGAAGATTCTTACGGCTGCCGCCAAGAGTTTGTGTACTGATAATGAGGAGGTTTCCTACCACAGTTCTTCCAATAAACAGGAATCAACAATAGTCACCCCTCCTTATGACCAAGGAAGCTTGAACCAAGTTGAAGCAACCGGGTGGGATAATAATTTCAAAAATCCTAGCCTAGTAAGGATGAGGGAAAAATTGGTGATACCGGCTTTTCAAGGTTGCGACTTGCGTGTCCAAGTAGAAACGCGCGTCTACGAAGGCATAAAAGTTTGTGAATCACTACCCCTCACCCCTGGAATATGTGTCGCTCGATCTGTGGTTACTATACCACCTAACTCTCCCCATAAGAAAAAGGAAATTATGGTACGGATTCTTAATACTTCTCCTGTCGCACAGACCATAGGCGAGAAGTGTCCGATTTTGAGGAGGAACAGACGCGACAGCGGAGAATGATGATTCGGAAACTTCGAGTATGGAAGTACGACGGTGGTATAAAGGCATAAGTAAGACCTACGAGAAAAATTCTAAGACATTCACCAATTGCTGATAGAAAGAAAATGAAGGAGTTTCTGAGTACATATAGAGATATATTCGCGAGGACAATGAACCATTAAGAGCTACAAAATTGATACAGCACACCAATGATATAGGTAACAGCGCACCTGTTTATAAAGCATAGAAATACCACGGATCACCATATGATGGATGGATATACGCGAATAAATAATCGACAAGTGGAAAATGGGACACCAAACCCGCAAATCAATAATACGCCGTCCCTGGAAACTACAGAAAACGAGTCAGAAAATGAAGAAAATCATGCCGAAGTAGAAGAAGAAGCAGAAGTTGAGGAAGAAGAAGAAAATAGTGATGAAACGACAAGTGAAACGGAAAATGAAAAGGAAAATGAAAATATATCGAGTAAAAATGAAGAAAACTTGATAGAAGATCCTGAAATAGGAGAATTTCACTCCTTGTCATCTGAACCGGTTGATGAAGAAAGTAGACTCGAAGAAAGTATAGAAAATGAAGGTGAAATGGAAACAGAAATAGAAAATTCAACAGCAGAAGTACCAGAAATGAGTAACGAGAACAATCAACGACAAACGAGAAGTCAAGGACCGGCACAAGATTATCCGTGTATAAGTAAAAATAGAATATAATAACAATTCCACTCATGTATAATAGCTCATTGACAATTATATATTTTTTTCAGAGTAGATAGTAGAAAATTACAATTTGATATGTTTCAGAATATGTTGCTAGTTTTGTGGTTAGTGTTCGTCAGGCTGTTGAGCCTTACACAAGGGGACATCATTGCGTATGATTGCCAGGACGAGTCAGTGGAGCTGACTCAACTGTCCTTGCTGAGAGTGAAGCCATGCCTCGACCCAAGGAATGCCAAGGAGACTACGAGAAGGAAGATCCAGCTCATCCAGAAGCGACAATACGTGGGAGTCCAGGTCTACACTTGCCTCGTCGTGGTGCAGCAGTTCATCCAGTACTGCGGAATGCACTCCCATACCAGCAGCGTCGCAGGAGGCCTAGGAAAGTACGTCCACTAAGTCTCTGCCGAGACGTGTCTCAAGGCTCATCAGTTCTGGCACTTGGATCTTCGAGGAATAGGCGGCGGCATCATCAGCAAGATCAGCCTCAACGGGACCACGGAAGTATCAACAACCCTCCAAGGACACCTCGACATAAGCGGAAAATGAGAAGGTATCAAAATCACCGTCGGAGATATCTCGTACGAAAACGTCGCCGTGTCGGCCGCGATAACAATCAAGATGTCCGATTATTTTACTACCGCGGATGTCGAACGTAATGTCGTGAATCTTCGTTCGGGAACCATATGTCCTTATAATGATGGATCCTGTTTTGATGACTTCTCCGGGGAGGCGATATGGAAAGCAAAAATCGCTGATCAGTGCACAAACTGTGGAGTCGATGTGCTTTATGAAGGAAATGCAACATTGCTCACACTTAGCAAAGGATCCACCAACATTTTACGTAATCGTGGATACCGAAGATACCGTTTTCGCTCTGAAATTAATCAAGTCAGAGGATCTATGTCATCAACGAGCTTGGCAGACCGAACAAAATCGTTTGTTAGTAATTTTGGAAGATTCGTTAGAATTTTTCTACCGAAAATCACTCAGATTACCTCAAAATACAGATATGATGATGCATATACTCAGCAAATTTCTTTATCTGGAAATTGCTGTTAAAAGACAAATGGCTGATGTTGTCTACGATGCCATCATGAGAAGGTGTCAATTAAGAGAGAAGATTCTACAGAACCGGATCACTATGGCCTCACAATCACCTGATCTCGTGGGTAACCTTGTGGAAGAAACTACAGGTACAATGTAAGCCGATAATTGTCGAGTACAGGAGAGCCACCACCAAGAATCACCTGTAAAGTACCAGAACAGGTCTCTATTCCGATTACCGGTGACCCACATCCTGAGAGAACATGGTACTGAAATAGATTGTCAGCCACTGTTGCCTCCTAGTTTCAGAATCGAGGGTAAATGGGTAGAATTGACACCTGCATTGAGGAAAGCCGATCCAGCTATCGAACTGGATGCTAACACCGAGGACGAAATCGTGAAGTTGGCCAGGATATCACCTATCACGTCGGATGGTATCTATACCCGGGAAGATATGGAAAAGTTTCAACGCACGCTCATGTTCCCGAACGACAGAAAAGCCGTCACGAACGAAGTCGCGCGTCGCGTAACAGGAAGAGGTATAGGTACGGACAATTATGATATGCCAACCCTTCAGTGAATCGGATTTTAAGAACTTTGCAAAATCTGACGCGGAAGAAGTGTGGGGTTTCCTACCGAGAATGGGGAACATTTTTTCGATATGCGGTTTTCTGTATACCACATTCTGTGTCATAAGCCATATTACGGGTGTGATAACGAACTATTTCACCATCAAGAAAGTAGCAAAGGACCATTCGCGTAGGAAACGATATTTGTGGGCTAGCTTTTTCCAAGCTTTAGCCCACCGGTATATTCATAGCCTCCATAGTAATAGTGATCCGGTAGAGCACAACGCCCTAAATAATATCGAACTACAGGAAGTTCGAATAAATGACACTGATGCATCTCGGCATTCCGCGAGTGAAACGCGGATCACCCCAAGCGCACCTGTCGCTAAGGTCACCTATCCTACCCTCATACCTTGCGACAATCCCAATTGTTTGGAAAAGCAATGAGAACGAAGTTACCACGGAGACGAAGACAAGGACCACGACCCACAACGGAGAAGAAGACGAAGGCTGTTCCAGGAAAACGGAAAGTAGGTTAGTTAGATATGTATATATGACTATTCTGGAGTAACCATTTATTACCCAACTTGAAGTTCAAGACAAATAAAAAATTGTTACTCTTAAAGGGGGGAGAAATGTAAGAATGCGAATCATTCAATTCATAATTTGCTATAGATTTCCATTGGGCTTTAGTGATTTAATGAAATTAGTTGTCTCTTTTCCATTTCAAATTACTGAGAATTCATTTTCAAGAAATCGGTCAGAAAGTGAAATCGAGAGTCATTAAATTTAACTAGGGCCACACTCAATTCATGCCTAATTTACTGCTAATAGTGTCCTATTGACCATAATTCTCGACCACCCGTGGTTCAGCTCCTATTCCGAAACTATCGTAAAAGTTTCACTCTCTGCATCAATAAGTCTCATTGAATGGGGTACTCCAGGATATGTCAAGTAGGTATTGTTAGTTTGAGTATGAAAGTCGTGTGGGTATAGGGTTTTTTATCGGAGATACACGTCGTGAATATAATTCTAAGAGAAGTGATCTTTTGCATGCCCATCAATTAGTTGACATTTATTATTTCAAGGAAATGGTATTTGTTTAGGCTAGGAAACTGGAGAGTTTATCTTTTGAATAGGGCAATTTATGTAGCATAATAAACACGTCAAAAGTAAGGGCTCTCGAGAAACATATATAGTTTATTTTTATTTTGTGAATATCTGCAGAGAGTACTTGAGAATTTCGAAGAAGTCCCCACATGTTGCGAAAACATAAATTATTTGTATGTCAAGTATCTGAAGCTGGTCAAAAGAGAAGGAAGGAATAGTATACACCCCTAGAGAGAAAAATCTACCACGATTGGTTGATACCATCCAACCAAGTCAAGTTTCCACCCATAACGGGAATGAACAGACGAAATTAGAGTCAGGAAGGGATTTTAGAAAAATCTTAAAGTCAGTTCAATTTTGAATTCCATCCTGCTTGCCTCGTGTTCTGGTGCGTGAATTCAGTGTTTGGTAAATCTCTCGAAGATTGTATTTTTTCTGATATTGATAAAGTTTCCCCTCCTGGTAATCATTGGAATCTTGTAAATTCATTGAGTTTTCAGAGTCTGGACTCACCAAGGTTAGTACCTTCCGTACTGCTTAGAACATTTAAATTCTAAAGTGAAATACATTTTCAAACCATTAACTTCCTTTTGACTGGTTGAGATAATTAGTTTGATAGATTTCAACTCACTCAGGATAGCTGTAATCATCATAATTATTTCTTGTTCATTTATTTGCTTTGTTATATAGGAGCCATTTCCTCATCGAGTCATATTTTCTTTACTTGACTTTTCATTACTTGTTCATTTTGATAATTATTAAATAGATCATTGAGGTTTTATTTATTCTTTTATTGCTGAACTTACCCACTTCTCTTCCAGAAGTGAACAATAAACATAAAGTAAATTTAATAGAAGTTCTTCTGATATAAGTTAAAAGTTGATAATATAATATAATAAAGGCAAAGAGTTACCAGATGAGTGTTTATACGTGTGACGGTTCGAGGTAATCGATAGCCCGCAGGAGCGATAGCTGAGCCCAGAGAGCTGTCACCCCTTCTGAGATTCGAGAGGTAAGTGGAATTTTTTTGATAATGTTTACGAGCCAACCCAAGCGTATTCTTATTGGACCTTACTTGCCTAACCTATCTCGTTCGGCAAAAAAAATCAGTAGATGAAGGAAATAAATATTATTAAGAAGTTGGACCTAAGACAGGTGTAATTTGATCAGTTCATTCCGAGGATAGAGTATCTTCATCAGAGTCCACCCTTCTTACATTATTTTTGTATGGCAATATCACGAATGTTAATCGCTTCGCATGATATGCAAATTTATATTCAAATCAACATCCTACAGACGATGTTTTTCATTCCGTTGGCCCATTATAGCGGGGATATCTCGAGATTGCAAAACAGCTTACATATGCGCATACTAATTGACATGACGCGATCACCACATGCCCACTCTCCGTTCTCACGCTCTCTCTGCGCCTATAAAACCAATTCGCGCTGTAGCATATTCAGTTCAACAGTGAGTAGGTATACAAAGCTGGTTGATGGCCAGAGCTGCAATAAAATGCCGCTAGTTAGCGTTGGCGCTGGTGTCGCTGGTGGCGCGAAGTTCAAATTTGCAGATGGCGGCGGCGCTGATGGCGGTAAATTTGAAATTGTGAGGTTATGACATCTCAATCATCATCATCATGATGAATTTTTAAATAAATAAATAAATTAAAAAAAGCTGTCACCGCTGCTGGGGGAAATTGAACCAGGGACCTTTGCATTATGAGGCAGCGTATATACGCACTGTGGTATTCCGACCTCCGTGATATTTCAATTATTTTAATGCTATTCAAACGGGATATCCATCGCTGGCGCGCGCTTATCGTTGCAAGGGATCTATCGAGGTAGAGTGAAGCGAGAGATGCATTCCAGAGATAAGAAACTTCGAGTCGAAAAAAATATGCATCGCTGGCGCGCGCTTATCTTTGCAACGGATCTATCGAGGTAGAGTAAGGCTCGAGCGCTCGGCGCTGCAACGTTGTCGGACGTATGTGTTTGGATGTTAATATTGTTACATTATTGTGTGTGGCAACGCTGTCTCGCTTCATGGCGTTCGAAGATCCAGCAAAGCGAGAGATCCCGTAGAATGATAAGCGCGCGCGCTCGTATTGGAAACGAATACTTGGATTATTGATTTATTTCAAAGTGGGTGACGTCATGCCGTTACCTTCATGGCGTTCGAAGTTCCAGCAAAGCGAGAGATCCCTTAGAATGATAAGCGCGCGCTCGTATACCCATTCCTTAAACTGTGACTTTTATGACAATAACAAGATTGAATTTTCATATACAGGGCGTTTGAGTTGATTGAAAATTGAAAAAAAAAATATATACAGAGTGTCCCACAGTTCGCGGTCCCATGTTTTAGCATGGAAGAAGTGTTTGAGTTGAAAGAAATATATACAGGGTGTTTGAGTTGATGAAGATTGAAAAAAAAACTATATACAGGGCGGCCCATGGGGGTGGAAGAATACGAAAACGAAGATAAATAATCTATTTATTTAAGTAATCCTTTTCTACAAAAATGACATGCCTCTTGAGAAGATGGTGGTCCATCCCAGTGTGTGGTCCAATCGGGACGATTATAATGAACGAAGCATGGCAGTTTGATTTGTAGGTTGAAGTTGCTGCGATATTCTTGAGGAAGTTTGTGCCACACCCCTAATAGCCCATAAGGATCTGCATATTCAATGAGACATTCTACTGGAATGTACTGCAATTCTTGTTCAGTGAATTTTGTCAGAGTCAAAGCGGGGGATTTTATAAAATCCAATAGCACAGCTATTTCAGACTTCATGATTTTTCGAGCAGAGCTGGAATATTTCAGATGCTACTAGTCTCGCGTCAAGTTGTAGACTGATGAAATAAAAAAAACGAGTCACATATTTCACAGACATTTATTCAAATCAGCCATCAAATCATTTTTACAGTAATATAGATATTCTCTGAGAGCGTTACTAGACATGCAATCGCAAACATCACAAAACCCTAATATAAGCTCTTGTGCACTCAAAACAGTCAGTTTATTTTTTATCCATTCAGCTATTACATTAATAATATTCTGATAAAACATAAAAAAGTCCAAGTCATTGATTAAATTAACTCGATGTGAAACAATGCACATTTCAGCACTCAAAATGTCTGCAACATCTTCTTCCATCAGATCAAATATGACGTGGTATTTGGAGAGGGTCAACATTTTGACACCATCGCAGACATGTTTGGCTACGGTAGCATAGTCTCCACAAGCAGTAATGATCGGCTCATATTCATCAATAAAACCAGGTAGGGGTTGTTCAAAAAAGTCCTGTTGTGTCTTATGCAGCAAATCGATGAAGGTGGCCCATTCGTAAGTACTGAATGAAATTTTCGCTGGGTAGAAGGGTTTCTTCAGAATGATGGCCGGACTAAATTGTCTAGCTGGACTGAGTCCACACTGGATTGTGTAAGTGGACAACTGGAACGATGTATTCAGCAGGTGGTGTGATTCGGCTTTCGCTGCTTGTTCAATCATGTCCAAATGTGTATTGACATCACCATAATAACCCATCATTGATGATGATGATCTAGAACTACCGTCTTCGAAAAGCACCTCACTAGATGAATAACCAGATTCTTCACTCATTGTTCTCGAACTGATGTGTTGAAAGTTTCAGTCCTCATTATTTATACCATAACTGTTGACTGATCATAACATCCGGCAGATTGGAATAACAGGTTATTTGTTAGTGATCGATGAAAGGCCCTCTCATAGCCATTAAATGTGTGCTTATTTTCCATATGATTACATTATAACTTGTTGGTGGAATCAATCCAGCTGTTGTGTGTATCATCGAATCCTAGCCATTTGACAAACACCTTTTTACCCCTCTTTCTTAAAACTTTTTCCACTAGATAGATGTCAG